CTTGAATTTTGGTGAATAATTAAAAATATAGGAATATACATAAAAAGTCAATTTTACAACACTTTTCAATGTCATCTTGAAAATCATGTAAAATTTAATATATTAATTCTTGGCTTTTATCGATCTTTTTTTGAATATTTAAATGCTTTTGACAAATTACATTTACAAATTATTCTTTATGAATGAAAAACATCTTCAAGATACTTTGTTGTACCATAAGTTTTTTAACATTAATCGTCTAGTAAATATTAAACATGTAATTACAGTTTAATAAATTGAACAGAGCCTTTTATAAAAATGTAAGTAATTAGAAATTATAATTATGAAAATTAAAATACAATTTTTTCATTAAGAAGTTAAGGCCTAATAAAGCTTAAGAAAAAAAACACGACATAAAATGAATTGGGTCAAATATTACTAAGTACTGTAAATCCTGATTAAATAATTTTTACGGTTTTGATGTACAATAGTGTAGTATAACTGTTACTATACTTTGCAAAATTTTATGATGTAAGTTACGAACCAAAAACATTGTTTTCATTAACGTCGATAAAATATAAAAGTATAATAAATTTAAAGGTGTAACATTTTATCTAAAAAATTTAATATTTCTATGATTAAAAACAAATTAAATAGCCAATAGCCTTTTATCATTTTTTCAATTAGTTTCTAAGCGTTAATTAAAAAAAATCAAGTTTAAAAGTTAATTATGATTATAAGCTTCCATATTTTATTATTTCAAAATCTAACTACCGAAAAGGTACCATTGTGAGATCAGCCATTCTGGCTATTACTGAGGTTCGACTTGAACCCCCAAGGGTTATTAGCTATGTAAATGGAAACACGTCACGTCCCCAACACTGGCAAATAGTTCTGTTGGTGCTTCACATACTTCCAACGAAATAATAGCTTCATTTGTATCCACGACAATACGTCTCTTTTTAAAGCTTTCGACATATTCACAGTGAAAGCAAACTCTGCAGATTTCGAATTCGAAATAAATTTCATAGACTAGGAAATTTGAAGGAAATATCAATGAAACCGTTGAATGAATTGTATCTATTCATTTTCAATAAAATAATAACATGTAGTTGTTACAGAAATGGGACTTAAAATAATATCAAAAAAAGGCTAATACTGAGTATGTAGCACATTCAGCAAAGCTTTTGACTCTGTTATGGTATCTCCAGAGAATATACGACGAGTGCAGGGCAAGTCGCGTTGTTGATAAAAAGGGCAAGTATAACCTCGAGGGAAACAATAGCACCAAACACGTGAAGAGCGAATGAGTCATTTTTTTTGTTCTATGTATATTTTTTTTGTGTCCCTACATAAAGGCTTACAGGGCAGGAAAGTAACAGGGGTTGATGTGGCGGTGCCTCTGCGTCAAGTAGAACGTTTAAATTGATCTACTTTAGTTAGTGACATAAAAACTAATACGCATTCGTTACACGACAAATTATATGAGTATTAACGAAATTAATTTCTTCAATATTAAATAAGACATTTGTTGGATGATGTAAGAAGCAATTTTTTAATTGGCGTACTAGCAAGTTAAATTCATTTTTGAAAAATATCTGAAAAATTAACCAGTCACATTTACCTTATAAGTAACATTTCATTTAGTGTATCAATTAATTTACATACAGATCGTATTTATAAAACAGTCTTCAGGTTCGATTAGAAATCAAGTTTGATTGACCAGTATGGAATTTTAATCAGATAGAATTAGAAAATATGTACAATCAGAATAATATGGGGTAGCAACATTAATTTTAACGTCCCCAATTTTTCTTTAGAATTGCCCTTTAAATAATAATATTGATGAGCCAAAAAAATTGTCAACATTTTTTTTCCATCATCTTTAATCAAACTTAAAATATCATTAACAATACTAGGATGAAAATTTTTTTTAATCGACCGTATTTTGAAATATTAGTAAGTTTTGCTTTTTAATTTTAAGATTCACTCTTAAAAATTTTTAGGGGGATTATTACTCTTCCGTGCTACTCTCTAAATAATTAGAATTCTAACTATTTAGGGTCTGAATAGATTTTGGGATAAGTAATTTTTTATATACCATTTTATAATATTTGCTACCATCTGGCTTTTCATATAGGCAGTCATTCACAAAACTATGTCCAATTTAGTTCATTATTCCATGTGTTCTAATCTTGTTGAAAGTTACCATAATTAAATTTTTATAATTTTAAAATTTCGTGTACAAAATCGTTAGCGTGTAATAAATAATTATCTAATTTTATGGTATTTTATGCATCGCGTTATTATCTTATTATTTGTTGTGTTTTATCACATTTTTTTGCACCAATGACATTATAGGCGCACTTATTAGTAAATAAATAAACATCAATAGAATCTGTTAACTGATAAGCAGATTATCTGATAATCTACTACTGACGATTCTTTGTATTAATGAGGAGTTTATGGTTTTCCGAGTGTTCGAATAACGTTTTGTTTTACGATAAAAAAATATAAAAGCAGTGATTCAGTCTAAGCGTAATTGCATGACTCAATTACTTAAGTTTATTGTATAAGCTACTTTTAAACGTTTGTTTACAGTTATATGTTGTAGTGATTGATCAACGATATTGTTCTGTTCGTATAAAATGTCAGTGTACTTCTTTTTATCTATGTTATACAAAAGAATTATTAACGCGTTTTCATTCTTTCACTTAATCTATCCTGCTATGTTTATATTTTAAATTATTCTAAAGCATTAAAAAAAAGAAAAAGGGTTACTACAATAAAATGAAATTCATTGCTATTAAATTATAACACATAAAAGTTCCATTATTTTTAGTAATTTGATCTCATTGATTAAATATTTATATTATGTCAATAAAAAACATAAAGTGCAAGAATATCGTGCGTTAAATCTTATTGAAATGTAATAATATAAAATTGCATAATGCTTAATTATTATATTTTCTAGGAAACAAATAATTACACTGAAAAATTAAAATATTCAAACTATTAAATGTTCAAAAATTACAGTATTCTGGAGTAATGTACTATTCTTTTGAAATCGCTCGATTAACAGTAGTAAAATGCTCAGGTTAGAATTATTTAGTTGTCTTATCAATGAAATATTAAGGTCACAGTAATATCAACTGTATGCATACTACTGTAATTATATTTGATCATTAAAAAGTTATTTAGCCAATAAAACTGGCCATTTAATATTATAGGTAAAAAATGTTTTTATTTAAAAATAAATTTTCTACCGTTTATAAAATTTCAAAATGATTTTTTTTGAATTATTTTTCATTGAAATACCTCAGGTGTCTCAGCAAAAATCGAATCGTGTATTGACTATTGATCGAATCAGTAATAAATGTGTTTTTAAAAATGTTTAAGAACTTAAAAATAACAAATACCCACCTCGGTTTGTAACACAGAGTTATAAATGGTTACTGTATAAAAGGCTTAGAGTGCGCTAGTTGGGGGTCGCCCGGTGAACTTTTGGGCCTCGTATTGATCCGGTGCCCTGCGTGTTGTAAGTGTGTGTGTGTGTGTTTGTATATTGTGTACTAACGGTACTTGGACTGTTTGCGGCTGATTTTGACTACGAAGGTTATTTTTACGTTCTTCCGTACGACGCCGCCGTTAATTTTGTACATGTGGGGCAAATAAAGGTGAATAGGGAACTTCATAAATCACACCCAAGAGAATATCAAAAATACTCAGAGTATCGATCAATCTTGTTGTGCTTAGCGATCTCTATGCAAATCCATTTATATTCTATAATGACAATTTCGGTCAGTAATATTTTTTACTTTAAATTGGTTAAACGAGTTCTAAACCGATTTATTTATCACAAATATTGAATTATTTTAAGAACCTTTGGTGTAGATTTGTTTAATTTTCTGAACATTTTTCGTAGTTATGTTCGTGTGCATGTAACTCGATTATATCGACATGTTCACCTATACATAACGTTGTTCGTTAGCATTTCGAGAAAACTCATTTTCTTCGTTTCCCCTTTTGATGAAATACGCCCTTCTCCTAGCTAGAGGCGAAATTGCCGACTAACACGCATCCCTGTATGACATTATTAACGGGTACACGTATGGGATACTTTTTCTTAAAAAGCCTATAAGTTTTGTTTACATATTTATGAATTGTTACGTTACTGTAATTACTCGACTTTTTCCAGTTCCTTATTTAATTTTAGACCAAATTCAAAATGAAGTTTCGTTTTTATACAATCGAGGCTAATTAATATAGAGGTTAAAAAAAACCTTTAGATTCAATATCCAAGCAAAATTGTAAAAATATTAAATCTTAATGAATACATTTTTTTCTTGAGATCGTACCTTAATGGCAGTTAATTGAAAAAAACTATTTAATATTTAAGATAATGTCGACAAAGTTCAAGAATAGGAAATTTTGGGTTTTAATATTTTAAGTGTGCAATTTATATTTTGTATCAATACACAACAAAATGGTTGTTTCGTATAAAAATATTATTTTACTTATTATTCTATAATAAATTGCATTTAATAACTCAATTGTTGTTACTCTACATAGTAGTTGTTATAGGTTAACCTAAAATAAACAATAATAATGTTTATGTTGGTGTAGTACGTTGAAGTTTACATTTTTTTATATATTATTTCATATTGTTAATAAAACGAAAACGAATGTTGCAAGTTTGTTTTGAAGACATTGATGTTGTCCAGTAAGCATTAAACTTCTTGGTATATTTTATAAACATATTAAATTTCCATCATTGTGTTGACAAACTTAATCAATCAATTGATCATCATTCACGATAAATATGAACGTTATACTTTTTAAATGAATCAAACTCTATACTTAATAATTACGAAATGAGATATGTGAAACATTGTTATTAGTTATATTTCGTTAATTAAACTAACACAAATAAAACATAAAATTTATATTTATAATTTAAAACATGTACAATTTGTTTTTTTTATTTTATCAATGAAAAATTATTTATTTAAAGATGATACCTCTTCGTTCACTGCACTCGAACCATTTTCACCCGATTCCGCTTCCGTCGCCGTATTTCTGTCTGTACGCTCCGTGTTCAAACTCCACCATCCTTTGGCTATAGTCTCTTTGATATTTCCCCGCCATCCTATGAATTAAATGTACTTTAGAATTGTATTTGTTGTTCATTTAAAAATTAAAAACACATAAAATGTACAGTGTTCTGTTAAAGATAGCATTTGTAAAGACATTATACATGCTAACGATAAATTGATGTTTCATTCGACAACGAAAACGTTAGAAGCCACCCACCCACTCGCATTTAATAATTACCCTTACTCGATACACTTAATCTTGTTACAACACTAATGAAACATTTAACGGCATCTCACCACTCTTTGTATCTTAACCGCTATTTTCCAATAAAATGTTGTCATTTTTAATTTAATTACTACGCACGTGTTTTATGTAGAGATTAAACTACTCTATATCATTAAAAAAAAAAACAATAGTTTTTGTATCATTTTAGAAGTAAAAAATATGTAATTTTTTATACGTTTCTCATATTTTATGGATTAGGCTAAAAAAAACTAATTAAGTTATAAAGTAATAAAGTAAAAACAAAGCGGTTAACTCAAAACAAGTTAAATATGCTTATTGAAATAGTATATCGACTTGAATTTAATTTTGAACGTCAAAATGAGGCGCTATATCAAAAACATTATTTCCCTATTTTTGAATTGTAGTCTGTGCCAATAAATCAGTTACCTAAGTTATTTAGACACATTTAGTCATAAACGTACAAATGTGTAAAAGTTTATATATGCGCAACGTCACTGTGGGGAAAATTACAACGTGCAATTCATTTTTACTAAAATGTTAAAATCGTAATCTAGTTTCTTAAAAAAACTTGTGGCAAAATTAAAAACGACTTTCCTAAGCACATTGCCTGTCTTTATACTATTTCACATAAACCACCCTAAGCGATAAAATCCGAGAGCTTGTTACGATTCCCAGTTAATGGTCCATTTGCTTACCGAGAGGTGGTACTACTCACTAGCGAGATACACAGCAAAACGACACATTAATAAATTTCCTTTTACCACCTTACTGTGCTTTAATACGAGACGAGAGTCAGGTGGTATTTTTTCGGAAATAAAAATGTCTTACTTATAGCTATGCATCAATCACTTCACCACACAACCGACCGGAGGTCACGAATACTTGTGTGTCGGTGTCTACGGCGATTTGTCCCCTCTGGCGTAAAGTAACCGGCTGATTAGTTCTGAGTCAGATCCCATCCCTTTTCGTCGTCATCGCCGACTAGTATATACATACTGCGATAGTAAGTCTTGTAGGGTGTTGTGGTCGTCTCGTTGTGTAACTCATTTGCCGTGCTATTTCCACAATATACACACACATATTTTTCTACTTGCCCTCTGCATCCACAAATTGCTTTCTTTTTTTCTTTTATAAAACTCTGGCGACACCCTTCTTTTCAAAAGTAATTTGGCGAAATTCCTAACTAAAAAAAAAACCTAGCCAAAGCTTCTCGCGTGTAGACGTAATAGACTAAATAGATGTTTTCAGGTTTAAGAACACATTTCTTTTATCAGGAATTACAATTGTTTCTTAGATTTGAAGATAGACATTAAATGTTAAAATAGACATTAAGATACATGTAATATATTTAAGCACCTAAAATATTACAGACCAATAAACAATGAGATGGGTCAAATTTAAAATAAATAAAGGTAGCGTTCTACTATCATACATTTTTACTGAGGCTATGCACTATTTTTATAATATATACACATTTTAGTTGTTAAATTGAAAAATTAAAAAAAAAAATGCATTTCTAAGATGTAACACATTTTTATTTTATTTAATGGGTTTTTAAAGTACCTATAATTTATTTTACTTTAAAGGTTAACCAGTTCTCATTTAATCGATTTCTAATGTTCCAATGTTATAATAAATTTAAAAATGCTATTAATTTAAATTGTATTGACATTAGAAACCAAAAGATATCAAACATTTTTTTTGACTATCGCTTCTTTTTTTCGTGAATTAGATAAATTTATTTCTAATATATTTTAATAAATGAATAGGCATCAAAGAAGCAGAAGAAATTACTTTTCGAAAACGCTGACTTTATCAAAATTTATGCAAATCTGTGGATAGTATTTAATTCTATATATATTTTTCTAAAAGTTATAGCATTATAAAATTTAAAATATAAAAAAGATTTTTCTTTGAAATCTTATTAACCTTGATGTTAGTTTTCACCATGAAAACAAACTAAAGTCTGAAGTTTTGAACCCTCCTGTATAAAGGGTAATGGGTCAGATTTATAAAAAAGACATCATAAATCTATATAAAAAAATTATTTGGACATTTTTGAAAAATTTATGGCAGTTTTAAGTAAAAAAAAACCCAGCACAGGGGGGTCGCGGCACAGTGGTGACGTGGCATAGTTGGATCAAGTATAATGATATCTGACAGTGATTAAAATCACTATCAAAAAAAAACGCTTCGATGCAAATCTTTAGATAGTGTTTAATTTTAAAAAATTGGTGGATTATTCCAAAAGCTTCATAAACTGCTAGTTCCTTATTAATATCCTGATTAAGACAAAGTATGTCGAATAAAAAAGAGATTATTAGAAAATAGTATTTCCCATAAAAAAATTATATTGATCAATACACTTTTCAATAAGTTATAGCATTATAATGTTAAAAATGTAAAAAATAAAATTGAGAATTTTCACACAATAATAGCATTTGGTAGCCATTTTCACCTTGAAGATAAAATAAAGTCCGAAATTTTTTTTTTCCATGATAAAGTATATTACATTAGCTTTAATTTAAGATATATATAAAAGTGTCAGACTTTCCGGAACACTTTCAAAATTTAAGTTGAAAAAGTCAATTTTTTGTGAAAAAGTTGTCATTTTGAATCCCCCCCTGTAGGCAGGTAAAAAGTCAGATTTATAAAAAAAATATACCAAATGATAGGTAAAGACATCATGCATCTACAAAAAAAAGAATTATATTGATCCATACATCTTTCGAGAAGTTATAGCATTATAAAGTTAAAAATATAAAAAAGAATTTTTTTACAAAAATCGTATTTTTTTTATTAAGTTTAATGTCTGTTTTCACCATGAAGATAAAATAAAGTCCGAAATTTTTTTTTACCATTATAAAGTATATTACATTAGCTTTAATTTAAGATATATATAAAAGTGTCAGACCTTCCGGAACATTTTCAAAATTTAAGTTAAAAAAATTAATTTTTTGTGAAAAAGTTGTCATTTTAAATCCCCCCTTGTGGGCAGGTTAAGGGTTAAATTTATGAAAAAAATATACCAAATGAAAGGTAATGATATTATGCATCTATATAAAAAAGAATTATATTGATATGTTCATTTTTGAAAAAGTTATAGCACTTTTAAGTAAAAAAAATTGAAAAAATTTCGAAAATTAGCGATTTTTAAATTTGTCATTTTTTTGGAGGTTTACCCCTTTTACGGGGAACGAGGGAATTTTTTTCAATTTTTAAGGGTAATGTCTTCGACTAGATACGATTTGTGATCTTTTGACGTAT